AAAAAAAAAAAAAAAAAAAAAAAAAACAGGAAACCAAATTGAGAAAAAGAGAGTGAGAAAGGGAGAAACAGAAATACCAGAGAATAAACATTTTTTACTGAATGATTTTAACATCAAGCGCTGTCGAATACAGTAAAAAAAGGGGAAAAAAGCAGATCTTAGCACTCATTATCACAAAAAGTGATATGAGACAAAATAGCATTAACGATACACATAGTTCCTCACTACTTTAGATACCACGGACGATACTGTGAACTAACAGAAGTTTTCCCGGGTGTTACCCATTGTTTTGAGGTCACCGGACGTTGTTGCTGCCGCATATTAAGTTTTTCTTCTTCTACAAAGTATTTTTTAGCGCGCTCGAATTCGTCATCGGCCCCAAAACTTCTATTGCCCTTTGGACGGCGAACCGGTGTTGTGATGTAACGATTCGACGAAGGCATACCTGACGGTGGGGTAACTGTGCGTCCCCCAGAGAAAGAGGCGGGGGACATGAGATTATTAGAAGGGTGTAGTGCCGGTGGTGTTCGTTGCAGCCTTAAATTTGGTGTTGCTCCAACCACACCCCCGCAAGAAGAAGAAGAACAACGTAGCGGTGTGCTGCCGTCGTGAATGCGCTGTTGAGCACGACGAAGAGTGCCCTCCACAAACACATCACGGCCATCTCGAGTCTGTGTCTGTGAGACGAACTGACCAAGAGGAGTAACGGCATTAGTATCCGGAACAGCAGCAGGAACAGCAGCATCGAAGTCTTTCTCCACACCCAACACGCCCTCTAGTTCAGTAGTCACATCACCAAAGAGCAAAAGAGATGCCTCCAGCATCGCACCATCGTTCTTCTGCAATGAAACCGAGTCAGAGAGGCAATCATGAATCTTTTTTAGTGCCACCGTCTGTTGTGCAGCCGTTAGATTCAGTAAACGTCCTAATTCCATATGGCGATCCGTCGCCCTAACAGACAAAGAGGATGCACGTTTGATAGCAGTAATCAATGACCGTGCAACACTTAAAACACTCTGTGTTTCCTCATCCTCCAACACTGTACGGGGCATTGTACTCCTCAGATCTTCTAACACCACTCCACGCAGAGTATCTAACGATATATGTAATCCAAGAGTATCAACAACACCAGCACCAGCACCAGCATTAAAAGAACTGTCACACATGGCTAATCTTGCTTTCGCTTCCCCCAACTGCTGCGCCAGTTTAACAACCATTGCAGCAATTTCTTGAGAACGTTCGGTAGCACTTGACGCAACTTCCTCCATTAAAGAACAACGTGCACGCAACAAATACACCTCACCAATCAGTAATTGACGAACCTCTGAAGATTCAACTTCAGAATTAAATTTATCAGGAGTAGCTCTGACCCGTCTATCAGACTCAGAAAAAGAATTATGACCACAACTTTCATGCAAAGAAATCTGATTTCTAATAGACTCTGCTTCATTCTTCGCAGAATCCAAAGCCTTCTGCAATGCAGCCACTTTCTTTACCAATCTATCCCGCTCTTTAGCATGCTTGCCTTTCAAAGAATTCATCTCCTCCCGGTGTTGTCTAGAAAGTTCTTCTTTACTCTCCTCCAACTTTGCAACACGATCACTCTCAGCCTTCAGCTTATTCCTTAAAGAAGCCAAGTCCACCCCATGCTGCTTCTGCTGTGCCAAAGACTCTTCCAGTTGTGATAACTCTTCACGGTGGCGCTTCTCAGCACTGCTAGCACTATCTGTTACAGCGCGTTCTGCCCGTTCCGCCCGCTCTGTTGCAATTCTCAGCTCTGTTTGCAGCTGTTCCACCTCCCTGGTGTGCTGATCCT